TATGTATGTATGTGTGTGCATTTATCAGCTAAAAATTAAATCAACACAACATTTCGATTCGGTTAAAAAAAAAAATAATAATAATAATCAACGCAGTGCAAAGTGACCGTAGTTTCTTCAGTTAATCACGTTGGATCTGGATTAACGATAACGGGAGACGGGATTCTGATACAATGTTTCAACACAAGGCCAGCGATTAGTTAACGTTAAGAATACAACGGTTGTCGAATAGCGCGCACCGAGCGCAATTTACTGACATTATACAATACAACGAGTTTGTGGTGCAGCATAACGCGTTAACTAACACTTACCTTACCACGAGCCACCGTGTTAACTCACCTCCCTCTCTCTCTCTCTCAGGGCTCGGCGGATAGCTAGGTCTGCTGTCGACTAAAGAGTAGTAACGTGTGTGTAGTGTAAATTACCTTGCCGTCGAAATGTTTAAGGACTTCTCTTTAAATCGCAGTGGTTCTTCACCACCGTATACTCTGTGGTTTTATCCGGTGTTTTCATGGGGAGGCGGTTTGGGAGTCGAAAAACTGGGAGTTCCCTTATTCATACCGTCACCGGTGCTGCCTTCACGTACCAACAGAAATATGGTGCGGTGCTTAAGTGCCAGTGTGACAAAAGTTGCCATACGGTGGGATGGGTCGGAACAACACAAACACAATAACACCACTATGAACAACACATGTCATAGAATATTTCTTTGTCTATATTTGGGTAAATAAAGCGCCAAAAAATACATATTTAGACATGAGGTTGTAGCACAGGAGGTGCTTTGAATGCAGCAACAGTAAGAGCTGCGAAGAAAATGCAGCGTTGGAAGAGCGCGAGCCCTACCCACTCACTCATCTGAAGCCATCTGTTGGTGAAGGACTGAGCACACACACTGTATTGTGATATCGGAGAAATAAGAGAAAAATTGGGCCATGCAATGGGTCGGGCAGCAATATTTTTCCTGAAAAACAACACAGCATATAAAGCAAACCTTTGCAGACCTGTTGGTCGACAAGTGTTCAGGTTTTTACCTTGATTTATAGGTGACAACATCAATTAATGCAAATATGCCACTGTTATGAATAACAATCAGACAAAAGCCTAACAAATATAAAGTAAAACCTGCAATAATTAATACTGTTAGTTTTTAATAATGATGTGCTTCAAATCATTAATATGGACAATTGGCTCTTGTAAAATAATAACACACATGACCAAATCTTTGACATAATTCAATTGTTGAATTGAACATTTTTAATTTAAAGGGCAGTGGTGGAGGGGGCGGACACACAGTCCTAAAAAGTGGATGTAGCATACATTAAAAAATTCTGATTTGAAGTTTTTGTCAGAAGCGTCACTTGACATTTAATGAATACTTGCACTAATTCTTTCTATTCAGTCACGCAGCTTTTAATACCACTGATTATGATGCTGATTATATTAAGCTTATAATGCTTGATAAGGCAGGATAATTGAGTTGGCATATCTTGAATGACCCCTGATACATTTAGTCTGACAGAGCATTCACTGTTTCTACAGGTAGCTTTACATCCTCTTCAGCCTTAACTGATAAGTGATTCCTTCATGGATCAACAATGGATCTCTTTTAATCTATCTTTGAGGACATAATCTGTTTAACTTGTACTGTGTAAAGCATGGTTGCCCGACTGCTATTTAGACCTGCACAGCACATCATTTTCTCCAACTAGCATAAAAAAACAGGAATGCTTGTTATAGACCTTGACGGGTCATAAAACTCTTTAAAACCAAGCACAGGTCATTACTTACATTTTAACAGTACAGTTTACGTTTTATTCAGTTTGAAACCAGCTCTGCAAATGAAACTATGCCTGCATCCTCTCCTAACTGGACTTCTGCAAAATGCAAATTGTCAAAGGTCACATCCTTTTCGAGCGCAGAAGGTTTTTAGTTACTTTTAGTTCCTGTTGGTTGTTTAAGTTTAGAATGGACCTGGCTACTGAAGGGGACCTCCTGTCTGATTTTCCTGGGCAGAATAAACCAAAACTGAAAAATGGGATATAAAATAATAGATACTTGAGTAATTATTGAATCATAACAACTAGTAGAATTGGATGGGATACTGGTTAAACAATCAGTAATTATTGACAAAATGTTAACAAGAAAAACAAGCTTTTTATTGTTATTATATATGTCAGTATACATGTACCATGTTTAATAGTTGCATATTGCAGTTAAATATATTTCGAATTTCCAGTTGGCATCATTGCAAGAATGTTATTATAAATTATGTCAAAATCTACAAATGAAGGGTCTTGCACTTTCGAGCTCCTGCTGTATACATTTCAAAATGTCAGTTTGACATTTTGCAGACAAGTGAGATGATAAATAAGCGCCATAGTGACTCATCAATAATGTAATCTGGATGGGAAAATTAATAACAAAACGGAGGTCCATGAACCTTCACAATGCTGCACTATGTTGTGCATGAGGACAGATTTCGCTCAGATATCCACGCTGCCTCTTGAAGAGTTCTTAGACTGCAAGCTCTGTGGTTAATGTGCTACTCTGATCTCAAATTGGATGAAGTGACACTAAAATAGCTATGATCGTATAGGTGTTCGAGAAGGTTGTCAAACCATGAAGTTGTGGTAAGAGAATAGAAAAACAACAACAACACTGTCTCCCTATAACTCAAGAGTGACACTGTAATATATTAAATCATTATAAACAGGATTTCTGTGAAAGTAGAGACAATTTTAGAAGGCAAACAGGGAAACAGGAAGTAACTGGAAACACAAGAAACCTTGATAATCTGACAAGACTTCTGATGTAGTTTTCATTTCACTGTTTTAATTTTTGTTTTGAGGTTATCAATCAATGGCTGTTGTGTAAGAATGTGTTTTCACTTTAGCATATGCTGTGAGGGCATTGGGGTAAACAAACTGGACTGGACTCTGCTCAGTCCCATTTTTGACACAGAAGGTTTTGGGAACAGCTGCTTTTTCAAACCAATTCTTCAAACCATGATTCGAATCATGCTGACCTTTCTGTGGAAATTCACTGTCTTTTGTTTCCTCATCTTCACCTGCTGTTTACTTAACTATGTGAATCCTGAGGAAGATTTGGATACACCAGCGATCTCTAAATATTTCAACACGAAAGGGAGGTACGAAGAAGTGAACCCGTATCTCATAGAGGACATACTCGCTGTAAACAGGTCCATCCTGCAGCCTCCAGCAGCACAATGCCAGGAAATTCATCTGACTGCCATAATAAGACACGGCACGAGGTACCCGACGAGCAAAAACGTCAAGAAGATGCAGAAGCTCTACGACATCGTCCTACACAACGCCTCGGGTGACGAGAGCTGGCTGCGTGAAATCCAGACCCAGTGGACGATGTGGTACACGGA